CTGCTAATTAATCAAAGAGCTGTAGATCCAATCACACACATTTGTAAAGCTGTTAGCGAATGTTTTTTGGAACTATGGTTTTGGAAAACATAATCGTCGAAATTTGTTATTAACGATGGAACTTGCGACCATAGTTGGGAAAAAAAAAAAGTTTAAATATGACTAATCATAAAGAATGTATTACTATTAATTCACTAAACTATTTTCTTGGAATCTTTGTATGTTAAACTCTTTAACTTGCATGTACTATGGGTAACATGGCGAACTTAAACTAAAATGTTCCTCTAGTGTTTCATCACCGGCTTACATGACTGAAATGATCCTTAAAACAAAACCTGAGTAAAACCAAATGAGCAAAAACCTGAAAAAACCCCAGAGAAAGGAGGAGTTCCTGTCCTGGGCAATGAAAGAAGCTGTTAATATGTTTCACATATGGCCAGCTAAATCTAGCCTGGCTTAAACTGCACAACTCACAAAGATATATAGGCATGTACCACAAGGTTAAGCTCTTTTCCTGTCAAATAGCCACTCTGTTTGAGGTTTTCAAATCCATCAAGGGGCCAGATCAACACTTCATCAAAATAAAAAGAGGAGGCCTCAGGGTTTCATTGCAGTGCTACATAATTCCATTTACTTTCTACAAGCAGCTGTTTTCCATGAATCTCCCTTCAGGAAGCAATGTTCGGAGTTTAATCATTTTAAACTGGTTTCATCCATGCATTCCTAACAGCAAATGACAAACTATCAAATACTTTCCTTTATTTTTATGTTTTAAAGGGGTCATATGACATTGCTAAAAAGAACATTATTTTGTGTATTTGGTGTAATGCAATGTGTTTATGCGGTTTAAGGTTAAAAAAACTGTACATTATTGTTGCTCCTCTATACCCCGAGTATGAATTAGGGGCTTAGGGGGTTAATAGACAATTAATATTCAGTAATATTATGGTTTTAACCACACTATCAGATGAGAATAGAGCTGGATAATGTCACTAACTTTGCAATGCAATGACATTATTGCCTTCTGTAGAGCTGCATAGAGACTGAAAAAAGAATGGTGTAGAAACAACATTTACTCAGAAATATCTAGTACATTTCACAATTATTTACAAAGAAATGGCAAGTAATATTGATTGTGACGTAGAAAGACTGAAATAGAATTTTCACGTAAAACACTCCAATAATGTTAACTTACAACTTCAAAAAAATATTTTTTACAGTGCACCTTAATTAAACTCATTTTATAACCGATAAACTTTGCAACATTTGACCGTTATTTAACGAATTAAAAAATGTTGAATTAAATCGAGCTGAATAATGACACTTGTCTTCTGTAAAACTGGGTTACAGCTAAAATTGAACTTGCTTCATAACTGATGAAAAACACTGACAACGTCAGTTGAGTTACTTCACTGCTATTCACAACTTCTCTCCCATGGTCTCACCGGATAGTAAAATATCTATTGTAGTAAACCATCCAAGTAATTGACTGTTTCATGAAAACTAAGAATTCAGACATACTTCTTCTGAATCCTTGGTTTTCATGAAACAGTCAAATACTACAATGGATATTTTACTATGTCTTTGAGGTCATAAAGTGTGGTCTAATTTTAAAGCAGAAATACAGAACAGAAGTTATGTAAGGGGAATCAATGTCTACTTATCACTGTTTAGCTTAATACCCTGTGAAAGTGATATGGTTATAATTTTCACAAGTCTGAAAACTGGCTTGAATAGATCAATGGATACAAAAATTACAGGATAAATAACAAAACCATTTCCAATCTCATTCAAATCAAAATATGCATAAAATGCATATTTAGCCGTCTCTTTCAGTCTCATTTTAACTGAGCTGTGACCATCATTCCACATTTTTCAAAGATTTACGGACTAATGAGTTATTGTTTATGATGTATAAATGTTTTTTAAAAAGCACATACACATTATAAGACTCTGATGTGACTAATAAGTAGTATGTTAATATCCATATATAACTCCGACTGGATTCGTCTGAAAGAAGAAAGTCATATACACCTAGGATGACTTGAGGGTGAGTAATTTATGGGCTAATTTTCATTTTTGGGTGAACTAACCCTTTAAATGTTACTAAAAGGTATTTCAAAAAATTAAATGGTATTAATATTTTTTTTTCTTGTAAGGGGCCCCTAAGAGGTGACACAGATTGTGTTTCTAATTCATTTCTCTGACTCCTGGTCTGTAGCCAGGGTTGCCCAAGAGTGTTCCAGTTCCTGTGCCATGCGTGGCTGTAGGAGGCAAGCAGGAGACACTGTTCTGCAGTCCAAAAGGTGCCGAGCTCATAATGACGTCACACACCGGCATCATTGAGCTCGGGCCTTCTGGACCAGTGTGATGAGGGCCAAAGAAACACTCGGGGTCCACGACCATGGCTATGAGGGTCAGCGGGTGCGCTTCGGTGAAGCTCCAGCGCACTGCCGAAAAAAGGCCTGCTCACATGTCATGTTTTATAAAGAAATCTAACCTCCCTCATTTAAAGAAATCATGTATTGTTTGATTAGATAAAACCTGACCCAAGACCAGAATTACAAAAACACTGCAGTTACAAAAAGTTCAACACATTACCTATAAACATGCTTTACAAGATTTTGAATTGCATATATATTTTTTGTAATTCTTTTTGTCAAATTTTATTTTTGAAAAGTGTGCTTGTGCGATCATTCTTGACAACAAATGATACTTTGTTTAATATTTTGTTTAACTATTGCAGTGACATTCATATGAACACTTTTTTGGGGCCACTGTATTAGAGACCTTTTTTTTTTTTTTTCAAGTGCAGTATGGAGTACCTCAAGGCTCAGTACTAGGGCCATTACTCTTCACGCTTTACATGTTACCCTTGGGAGATATTATCAGGAAACACGGTGTTAGCTTTCACTGTTATGCTGATGATACTCAGCTCTATATTTCTTCGCAGCCCGGCGAAACATACCAATTTGAAAAACTAGCGGAATGCATAGTCGATATAAAAAACTGGATGATGAGTAATTTCTTACTGCTAAATTCTGAAAAAACAGAGGTGTTAATTATAGGACCTAAAAACTCTGCATATAATAACCTAGAACACTCTTTAAGACTTGATGGCTGCTCTGTCAATTCTTCGTCATCAGTTAGGAACCTAGGTGTGCTATTTGATAGCAATCTTTCGTTAGAAAGCCACGTTTCTAGCATTTGTAAAACTGCATTTTTCCATCTCAAAAATATATCTAAATTACGACCTATTCTCTCAATGTCAAATGCAGAAATGTTAATCCATGCGTTTATGACCTCAAGGTTAGATTATTGTAATGCTTTATTGGGTGGTTGTTCTGCACGCTTAATAAACAAACTCCAGCTGGTCCAAAATGCAGCAGCTAGAGTTCTTACTAGAACCAGGAAGTATGACCATATTAGCCCGGTTCTGTCAACACTGCACTGGCTACCTATTAAACATCGTATAGATTTTAAAATCTTGCTAATTACTTATAAAGCCCTGAATGGTTTAGCACCTCAGTATTTGAACGAGCTCTTGTTACATTATAGTCCTCCACGTCCGCTGCGTTCTCAAAACTCTGGCCATTTGATAATACCTAGAATATCAAAATCAACTGCGGGCGGCAGATCCTTTTCCTATTTAGCGCCCAAACTCTGGAATAACCTACCTAACATTGTTCGGGAGGCAGACACACTCTGTCAGTTTAAATCTAGATTAAAGACCCATCTCTTTAACCTGGCTTACACATAACACACTAATACGCTTCTAATATTCAAATCCGTTAAAGGATTTTTAGGCTGCATTAATTAGGTCAACCGGAACCGGGAACACTTCTCATAACACCCGATGTACTTGCTACATTGTTAGAAGAATGGCATCTACGCTAATATTAGTCTGTTTCTCTCTTATTCCGAGGTCACCGTTGCCACCAGATCCAGTCTGTATCCAGATCAGATGGTCACTGCAGTCACCCGGATCCAGTACGTATTCAGACCAGATGGTGGATCAGCACCTAGAGAGGACCTCTACAGCCCTGAAAGACAGCGGAGACCAGGACAACTAGATGAGCCCCAGAGACAGATCCCCAGTGAAGACCTTGTCTCCTAGACGGCCACCGGGACAAGACCACAGGAACCAGATGATTCCTCTGCACAATGTGACTTTGCTAGCCTGAAATTGAACTGCTGGTTTTGTCTGGCCAGAGGAGAACTGGCCCCCTGACTGAGCCTGGTTTCTCCCAAGGTTTTTTCTCCATTCTGTCACCGATGGAGTTTTGGTTCCTTGCCGCTGTCGCCTCTGGCTTGCTTAGTTGGGGACACTTCATTTCCAGCGATATTGTTGACTTGATTGCAAATGATTGCACAGATACTATTTAAACTGAACTGAGCTGGATGATGACATCACTGAATTCAATGATGAACTGTCTTTAACTGGAAAATTAGTGTTTACTATTGTCATTTTGCATTATTGACACACTATTTTCCTAATTAATGCTGTTCAGTTGCTTTGACACAATCTGTATTGTTAAAAGCGCTATATAAATAAAGGTGACTTGACTTGACTTGACCTTCCACAAGTCTATTCAAAGCCAAACTCCACACAACAGCACAATGAGGAACACGTTTTCATATTGCCAGTATAAACATTTACTGCTTTTTTGCCCTTGAGCTGTTCTGGAAGAGCCCTGGAATTTCTGGGCTACTGTGGCTACCAAAACAAATGAGTCTTTTATGTAACAGAGCCAAACATCCTGTGGGCCGCCCCCTCAGGACAACCATGGAAATCTGTTTGCTTTCCTTACCCAGAACTCTACTGTTAGTGCTAAACTGAGGCCTGGTGACTCAAGAACAGAGGTTAACTCTGTTTCTTTTCAGTTCGTTTTAAAAACAGTGCACTTAGGACTTAACAGTCTAAGCTGTTCATTACAGTAAAAACAATCAGTGATCCTCAAAGATACAAAACTTTTATGATTAAAAAAAAAACCTGCTATGAATAAACATTTTTACATTATTTACCCTCATTTCAAACCGTGTGATATTCTTTCTTTGGAAGAACAAAAAGGGGATGTTTAGCAGAATGCTCAGGCTCCATCAAGGACCAGGGCTGTCAATGGACAAAAGGCAGTTCATAAAAGTAGTCCAAAAGACTCATGCGTTATATTCATTTTTATAAATTCGAGGAACAGACAACATTTAAGTCACTGATTATCTTGAACTTCAAATCTCATTCACTCTTTATGCTTTTGTTCAGTAGAAAAAAAGCAGCATGAAAATGCTGCAAAACATTTTTTTTTTCATTTCCACAAAAGAAAGAATGTCATACACAACAATGGCAACCCATCATTAATGATGATGGAATATCCCTGTTTCTTTAGCGATCATTTAAATGCATTATATTACAAGCAGGGTTTTTCGTTACCGTGAAAACAACCAACATTTTTTAGAGGTTGTATATAGTAATAAATCTATGAGAAAAACCTATAGGAAGATTAATGCACATTTCAAGCAGTGTCTTTGTTCTACAAGGGAAAATCCCGGTAAGAAAAACAACAAACCAGGAATTGTCCAGATCTGCGTGACTGGAAGGCAGCCATGGTTAAAGCCCAAGTGGAGTTTGAAATGAGCTCGGCCTCATTTCAAAGTTCCCAAAAAATAATGTTTGTCAAGCTCACTCAACCATGGAGGGCAGCATTTAGACATCTGTCAGACAAACCATTCATTTCACTCGAACAATAGCTGGACCCCTGCGTTTGAGATATGAGTAACTGCATATGTGCAGGAATGGATTAGTTGGTAAGGATTAATAATGAAAAACTAACACGACACTTGGCCAAATGTAGCACAGCATATTACCATAACAGTTGTCGTATAAAATTAAACGTGCGATACGTAGTAAGTTGAGGCTGGACACGTTTACAACTTCAGGCAATAATGATGACTTACTATTTTGAGTATGTTTTTAGTTAAAAATGGATTTGGTTTTTAAACATTGAAGCTAAGTGAGCATTTAGCCGCTAACTTGAATAGTTTCCCATATTGTTTTTCCATCAACACCTCCCATTCCACTTGACCAAGCACACACACACACACACACACAGTGCACTCTGAGAGTCATATGGTCCTAACAGCCATCTTCATTCTACTCCCCTCTCTCTCTGTTCTCACCTTTTTGCACGTTCTGTCTCCACATATCCTTTTTTTCCACCTGGCACAATCTGGCCTGTATATTTGAACACCTGAAGGCAAAACTACTAGGTTTACTTGTCCTACTTTGCCGTTTCATTCACTCACAGATTCACTTCATTGGGCTTTTGTTTAAAGTGAGAGAGGGGGCTGACATCTGTCATCCTCTCTTTCTCTCTGGAGGTGGTGGGCACAACGCCCTGGAGCACATGGAGTTGTCTGACTAAGTATAGTTGTGTGCATTTGTCTTGCATTGTTTTCAAACTCAGCCATTGAGTTAACAAGTACTGTTGGTCTGAAACACTATTCTGAAGAGATTTTACACCAGAAAGTAATCTAAGATGGTCTTCGGAATTAAAGCATTTAAGTAGTATTTCTTTTTTTCCAAGGAACTGTCACAATGACTGGTCCTAAGGTTTTATTTATTTATATTATAAAGTTTTTGATGGCTGTATGAAGTCACTTCCCCTCAAGCTCATACAGGTGTCTATGCAGAGTACCCACAGTTTCCAGTACTTTTGAAGAAACCAAAAGTGTCCATAGAGTTTTGTCTTAATAGAACAGTGCTTACTGATTTATAATAATCTATTCTAATCTATTATAAGTATCTATTGATTTATCTGAACCTTTGGCAAAATGTTCTGCTTGGTAAATTATTTCAAATAAATGGCACTTAATCGAATACTTTGTTTCTAATGCATTGATATTAAAACATGTTTTAAGTGTGACTTAAGTCTCTAAATACCTGTTTTGTAATTTTTTGTGCGAGAAATATACTAATATTTTAAACTTTTTAAACTGTAAACTGTAGCTTCATTCCCATCATTAGTATTTTTTCTAAGATGCACATATATTTCTTCGCTTTATAAGATTTATCAACTGATTTTATCATTGATTTTTCAACTGGGGTCGTATGGATTACCATTTCATTAGTTTTGATGGTTTTTGAAGCATTAACTATGAGAGTTCCTTCCACTTGCATTATCCAGACTCAGCGATGGATTATTTTTCAAAAAATCTGAGTTGCAAAAGAAAGACAAACAGACTTGGGTGGAATATCTCTTTAAACTGATCTGTGTAATTTGTTTACCCATTTGCTGTATGTCTCAAAGTTCACAATGTCTTTGTGTTCACTCTTCACAGTCACACTTTTGTCCCATGATTGATAAGGCAGAGTGCCCCCATCTTTTTTGTCTTTGTCCACACTAAGTCATAGTTCATCCATTTATACAGTAACCATGTTCCTAGTTCTGTTGAGTGTGATATGGGGGTATCACATCCCTATCGGGAAAAATTTCTTGGTGACTGATTTTGCTAATAATGTGTTCCTAGATGTATATCCTAGTTAGTCCTGGAAAATCAGTCCTATCAAGCAATCAGATTTTAGGATTAGGGGTTTCTTCTACATTCTCATCAACATTTGTATTTTCCTCTGATTTTAAAGGGGTCATATGATGCGATTTCAAGTTTTCCTTTCTCTTTGGAGTGTTACAAGCTGATTTTGCATAGATAAGATCCCTGAAGTTGCAAAGACTAAAGTCTCAAAACCAAAGAGATATTCTTTATCAAAGTTAAGACTCTGCCACGCCCCCCTAAAACGGCTCGTTCTAACACACCCCACATATCTACCTCACTATGTGGAAATATTAGCACAATGAGGCCCAAATCTGCACGCAAAGAAAGAAGGCGTGGTATCAGTAATCGCAGTTAGTGTTGAAGCAGCCATGTCAGGGAGAAGCTGTGTGTTTCTAGGCGAAAGCAAAAGCACTTTATTTCACCTTCCGAAAGTAGATGCATTTAGGAATCTTTAAGATAACTTACAACAGAACAGCAATGCATTTTATGGACGACCGTTTCGTGAACCTAGGAGAGGAGGTAATTCTGACTTTGCTATGACAATCTGGCGCTTCAGAATCAGCTACTGTTTTGTTATTAGTTTAAATATTTGCTATTGACCGTTCAAATGCGGAGTTTTGCGCATCGTGTGCGTGCGTGCGTGCGTGTGAGCGAGAGAGAGAGAGAGAGAGAGCGAGAGAGAGACAGGGAAGGAGGGGGCTTTGTAGAAAACGAAGCGTTTGAGAGAGGCGGGGCATAGAGGACCTACAATAATGTACTGTATTTGAAAAATAATGTGTTTTTTGAACATTAAAGCATGTCAACATATTCTGTTACACCAAATACACAAAATAATGATCTTTAAAAAAGCATCATATGACCCCTTTAAGGCAAGGCTGAGCATAGGGTTAAGACTACAATTGTTTAAAGAATATGATGTTCAAGGACCAACAAATGATGCTGATGTCCTCCCTTGCAAAATCACACAAAGCCTCTTGCTGGCTAAGTAAGAACTGAGTGTCTCTTACCTGCTGCATTTTCTCTAGGTCCAAGCTGGGGCGACCAGGTTCTCCTGTGTAAGCAGGCCGGTGCCGCCAGTAAGGCATGGAAGGTTGTTCAAAGTGGCTGAGAATGATGGGCCGGACAGGTAGGCGGGCTGGGGTGTGAGAAGGCTTGAGAGCTCGAGGAGGGGAGGAGCTGAAGAGAACGGGGCTGGGAGAGGAGGCGCTCAAGCGAGGTCCAGCCGATGATTCATTTGGCCCACACAGGTCCTTCACCTCCTCGTCACTAAAGGCGCTGCTCATGTCTCCATGTCTGTGCCACTTTCGGCCCCCTTCGGCCGCCGTAGCTCCTGCGATGCGCTCAAGCTCCTCTTCGGAACTGTGATGGTCCAGGATTGGGTCCAGGAATAAACGGAGACACCGTAAGTGGGCGGGAGAAAGAATGCCCTGGTTGTGCTGCTGGCTAGTGGCTAGAGGGGTCAAGGCGCAGTTCCGCCGGCGCTCTGCAGGGGGTGTAATATAGCAGAAGGATGTCATTTAGCGAAATCTAAACTTAAAATGCACTTAAAGGGGTCATGAACATTCATTTTTAAACAAAACAATATGATGCAGGCTTTTCAGAGAGACTGAAAGTAAAAAATGCTTAGTGCTTAGTCGGACCATTTTGGATCCAACACTAATGTCGCACATAAGTGTGAGTAAACGTGTTTTTACTACTATTGTATTGTCTGTTCCAGACCGTTTGATATATACTCAGTATTTAACCCAAATGACCCATGTTGTTTTCAGAGTATGTCACAGCAGTGTCCATCTGTTATTTTAATAAGCAAAACTGCTAGCCAATCATAGCACTGGGCGCTTACTTGCGAGTCTTGAATGTGCCCCGCCTATATAAACAGACCGTTCTGCAGAGAGGCTCAAAAACAGGATAGAAGATAGCCTATTACTTCTAAATTATGATGTTTTTTTTTTATATAAGTGAACCTCAGAGAACATTATAAAATAATTATAAAATGCAGTTCATGACCCCTTTAATACAGGGACAATCCCAAGGAGCATCTTGGGTTTACATGTCTTGCTCAAGAGCACAATGATATTTAATGGTTTGTTCCTTAAGGGTTTTTTCACACTGATAAACATGAAATTGCTAGAGGTTAGTCTGCGTTCTAACTGAACTACAGTATTGAACTGCATCATGAGGTGGATCAACTACTGTAAGCTCCAATGTCTTCACTCCTTTTGGTAGACGTCATATTCAGTCACTGCTCATTTGTTCAACTCTGCTTGCCTCTGTTGCATCACTAATGGTCACTGTGGCTCATATCGCCTCAACTTGCCATGTCTTATTTAAAATTATTTGACACCATCGGTGAAAGTGTCCCTTTACGGGACTCAAATCAATAAACTACGATACGCCAAACCATAACAGATAAGACCAAACCATTTTTTATTGCTCTTAGCTACTGTTATGGCAGAAAGTACAACAAGTACAAGCAAAGTATGATTAAAATGCACAAGTGGTCTATATCTATATGGACTCCAGATAAAGTTTATGGTTTAGGGATTTTAACCTAGAAGATCAAAGTTTATGTATGTGACAGACTATTAGGTTCAACTAATAACTATTTTTATAATCTAATGATAATCTAAATCTTTTCCTCTAATGCTAATGCCATATATGTAGACTTCATGTAATAGTAATCCTACTACTGTAGGTGTAAAACATAGCATCCGCTGCATTGCAAATATGGTTTTCATTTTGTTTCATTTAAAACTTAATTTTGATGTTTAAGAACAAATATTGTTTCGATGCTAATGATTGCACTCACTTTCTGTTTCAGTCTGTTTGATTGATATGCATATTGATGTACTCCACCCAAAAATGAAAATTCTCTCATCATTTACTAAATAATTTGTATTTTTCTCACACACACACAGCTATCGTTTCACCTCCGAAGACACTGATTCATCAACCTCAACTGTGGTTGTATGGAATACTGTCATGATCATTTTGCATAGTTTTTGAAGCGTCAATTTTGAGGGACCCCTCCACTTGTATTACATGGACTCAAAAAGGTTAATTATTTTACTAAAAATCTCATTATGTGTTCCACTGAAGAAGAAAAAAAGCCATATACATCTGGGACGGCATGTGGGTGAGAAAATCACGAGAGAATTTTCATTTTTGGGTGGAGTATCACTTTAATGACAACATTTCAATAAGAAACATTTCAGAAACATAACAGTAACTTATGTAAATGTGTTATTCTATGCATTATCTATGTAACATTATAAATTTGATCAATTAGTTGTTGAAGCCCTGTATGCTATAGACATATACATGTGGCAAAACACACACACACACCTCGGTCAATCTGTGCTAGCTCTTGGTTTTCACCTTCGGAGTCTTCACTCTCCCCTCCTTCCTCACTGCCATGGTAGGAAATCTGTTTCAAAAGCAAAGCAAAGGTCAGACAAACCTGAATCACCATGATACAAACAAGAATATTTTTACTGTCATGTCCCACAGCTCACAAAAGCGAATGGAAAGTGTTTTTCATGCATCTGTATTCCAGTCTAGTAGCATGAAAGTATTGCTTATCATTTGCTATCACAACAAGACCAGTGACTAACACTTGGGCAACTTCTTAGGAAACCTTCTAATATTACAAAGGGTGAGACAAACATATGCGGTAAGTGCTGAATGTTTCTTGCAAACAGTCCAACCTAAACATAGGGATTATCCATTTACTCAGAAACTTCTTACAGTTTTGAAAGAAAATGTGTGTAATGATTACCCATGCAAAAGATGGCTTCAATAGCTTCAAGACGTGGTTGGCTGCCAAAGCGATGCTATGTGTTTGCTAAGTGTTTTTAGCATGTTATGCTTTGGTTGCATGTTCAGTGGCCCAAGACATAAAAGCCCACCCCCAAACTATCATGAGAATCTGTTCCCTATATATGCAAGCCTATGGGATATTTTTGTTTTGTCATCTGCGTGCAGAAAATCTAAAATATGATGGTTTAAGAAAGTAATAGAACACCTCAATAATCTACGGAGGTCCCCAACCACCGGGTCAAGACCATAGACTGTAAAAAAAACATGGACGTAATGTCCGTGACGTCACCCGTAGGTTTCTGCATTTTTGCAGCCTAAAGTGGGCGGAGCGGGCCGTCGCCATCTTGGCAGCGTGTCACTCTCGGATAATCGAAAATGTGCAAAGAGGTGGGATGTGGGTGGAGCTGGTTGCTGAAACCACGCCCACCTAGCTCGACGGTGGTGACAGCAGCGGCAATCCACCTGTCACTCAAGTGGCCACGCCCTTAATTATGCAGAACTTTAAGGCTTAATATAATTTAAACGGATGAGTTATAAAAAAAATTCACCCCCCTCACAGTTGTCATGAAGGGCAAAATTAGCTATATAGACCAAAACCACTTTTTGTACCAGGCTGTAAACATTTTTTTCTGCTGTAAAGTTGGGCATTTTAACATGGAGAGTCTATGGGATTGACTCCCTTTTGGAGTCAGTCTCTAGCGGCCAGTCAATGAATTGCAGTTTAAGTCACTTCCGTGTTGGTTTCAAGAGAGAGACCGGAAGGTTGCCGCTTGGTCGACGGGGTGGACTATTTTAAGAATACTTTTCCCATCAACTGGTCACAATGTACAACATCGCTGCGCACTCTCATGTTAACAAGCACGGATGAGAAGCACGTGAGGCGCTGAATGAAAGTGCACATTCACTCTCTGACAGCAGGTGGTGCTGAACAGCAGAAATGCAGCCATTTCCCCGGAAACCCCGTAAACAAAGCAGCTGCGCAGCGCTACTTTCTGAAACCTATTTAAATGATTTAAACAGCCATTCAGATTTGTGTATTTGCTATGGTGCTCATCACAGCGCCAAATACTTAAATATTTAGACTTAATAGGCTATTTACTTTTTTACATTTTAATCTGGACTACAACATGCCCTATTTATTGTTTGAAAATGATTTGATTCTTTATTGTTCAGTCATTTTATGAACTCGAGCTAACATGAACTGTATTTTTTAACAAAGAATAATAACTTCTGTAACAAATGCAGCTATTGCTCATTGTTAATGTTAGTGCATTAACTAAGGTTAACTAATGAGATCTTATTGTAAAGTGATACCTATTGGTCTTTATAATTCTTTTGCACTTTAATCTGTGTGAAATCTGTATTTACTTTACACATTTTTTGTGTATTGCTTTATTGTATTTAAATGTTCAATTTCTTTTTGTTATAAGAAAAAAAGTTATTAAACCTGTTATACTTTATTATGACAACACTTTTTTGCAACTAAATTTCAATATCGTGATAATACCGCATACCATGATAAAAGCATTAGTAATTAATCGCAACATGAAATTTTGATACCGTCACATGCCTATTTGCCAATTTACAAGTTCAAGCTATTTTAAACCACAAAAAGAAGCGAAAGAGAACTCGATTCGTTACTCGCGTGCTGTATTCGGTGTGCACACACATGCACAGAGACGTGTTTCAGACAGAGTGCAAATACCGAGTTGATTCCTCTTTCACGTCTCCTTGCATTTGAGATACATACATATAAAATTGTCAAAAAACCCTTCTCGGCATTCTCATTCTCTTTAAATATTTTTTTTTCTTGCTCATCTGAAAAATCATCCGATCCGTATATAAATATAAATCCCACCCCACTCCAGCAGATCCGCGAGAATATTTTCAAAATATAACCGGTCCGTGGTGTAAAAAAGGTTGGAGATCCCTGATCTACATGAATCATGCCACACATAGCACAAATAATGTGTGATACATCAAAGTTTAATACCCAGTATGAGCAATATTTACAGTGATGCCTGCCTTAGAAATCAGCACTGATGATTCACAGATCTACACCTCAACTGAGATGAGGTGTAGAAGAGAAGGCGCGATTGGATCAAATGGAAAAGGTGCTCACTAGCCAAACGAAATGTATTTCAATTTAAACTTCAGCATGTGCATTTCCTTTTTGATTTGCCTTGTTTGAGTAAAGATCCGAAAGTGCGAAAAGAAGAAACAGAGCATGAGGTTAAGAGAAGTAAAAACAAGAGGCACACCCAATACCACAACATCAATTGCTCTGAAAGCTTAGCTGAGTCCCAGTGTAAGTTCATTTAGACAAGATTATTTTAAGAGCAAAACTGATTTAATGTCTCTCAGCGAATGAGGGAATGGAACAGAGAGAAAACCCAACAGATTGCACTAGTAAAGAGTTAAGTAACACAGTGCACGGTAATTACCTTGTCCAAACCCAGCTAACCAGCTGCCATCTGTTCTCAAGTACACACACACACACACACCACTTCTCTTCTCATCTCTTTCGCCTTTCACTAAGTAAACAGTGAGAGAAACTGAATGACTCAAATGTGTCACTCTTTCTCACATGCATGATGCACTAGGATCTCATGGCAGCTCAGGGCCCCCAGAAGAGCCATTTTCACTCACTGAAATCCAGTCTGTCTCGAATCTCAAAGTCAACACAAATTACCATTCCTCACCACCAAAACCTCTGCCAGACAAGTGTCTTCGGTTGTAAGAAGCTATACACTAGGTTTTCATTTAGTATCACATACTTAGAAACTACTGCCCATTACTGTATTCGAGAGTGTACGTTTCAGAGGTGATAACCATACAAATAAATACAGAGTGAATGCCCTTATTGTTCCATGTGTGTACAGAATACACAAGTCAATCCCACTAGAGAAGAAAACACACTGAGCGGGGGAGAAGGTACAATAGTCCTCTGCAGTAGGCAATGTATTTCCAAAATTGATTAGTTAGTGGGTTAGTTCAGGAAACCCATAACTAGGCTGATTTACTGTAATGACAACTGCTTAGACATGTTTCTTTGCAATATATGGTTACTAAGGCACAGTCCTTTAATAAAGTAACTGGACAGATATTCAACAAATAAAAAATTTAATAATTTATTGTCAGTTATTATTTTTTTCTCAAGATACTGTGTCTAAAGGTAAGGTACATCTATCGCTATTTTCGTGGGGAAAATGTAACTGACAAGCATTCTCACAACAAGTCTGTGAAAAGGCAAAATATAGGTTACACAGTGTACACTGATTATTTCCATTCGACAACCAAAAAAAAAAAAAAGGACACATTGTTGGTCTACCTGTATAGTTCACGACCCATACAGAATAGCAGACAAGGGTTTTCATGCTATGACAAAAGATCTGAACCAAGGTACGCCATTCCCTAAAGTATTTTTTTACCAACACCAAGGTGCCTACTTTCAAAACTAAAACTATTCTTATGGCTTATTCTTAAAGCAGAAGCCAAATGATGAATAAGAATCAATTGGGTAAAAGATCGCAATATATCAAAGTTTTGTAATGACAATACATTTACAAAGCATAATATTATTGAATCGTGATACAAATATCAATATAATATCCCTATGTCAATGCAGATTCCTTCCCCTACTGCAAGATTGTACCGCCTCAACAACAGAGCAATGACTGGAAAAAAAAAAACAACTGGAAAAAGCATGAAATGCTAACAAACAATATCAGAAAACCTGTTTCTCAATGTAATTATGTACAAATAGACTTCTTTTAGGTATAAATGTAGTCAGCCTGTCAATATTGAAAAATAAACCTTGACACTGTGATCTTGCATCACTCTCAAGGAGTTTACTTTGTGATAATGACCAAGTGTTTATTAATGGTTTGGTTATGTAAGCTGTTTTACCATGCCAATGAGGCAAATATAACTAGGAACCGAAAATTATAGCCTATATGTGTGCCTCTACTGTACAGACCGGTCTCCTTGTGTCATAGCTCACTGAAGTAGGCAGAGGGTGACACAATATCAGAGCTACAAGATGTTGGCAAGTGACCTTGGCTTAATGGTGACAGCCAATCAATAGATCCTGGGAGCGTTCTTATACATGCAGCCTCGTTTCAACTCGCTTCAATGTCGAGAGAGAAAACATTACTGATACTAAGTCGACTTCTGGTTCTTTGCCTGCACTGAAAAGCTCTGATAGGATCTCATGGGTGCAGACACAAAAAGCTGCTCAAAAGGGAAAAAGCAGTTCCAGTAGTACACAACGAGAAAAACAGGCTTTGTGTATACTCAGTCTGAGGCAGATTCAAGGCCAAAAGGTAATGCCTTTTAATATAAATAGTGATCCTACATTTTATTTTGGCTAGTAATGGAACTCTACATACAAACACACATGCATATACACACAGCTGAGTGACTGAACTAAATACTGCAGCACTGCATGAGGCCTGTTTCCCAGGGAACCGCCCCCAGATGGGATGACAACATCTTCACAAGGGATTAGGGGGATTAGTTTAAGTGAAGATATGTTAACAGAGCTATTGTCAAAATCATCAGCATCAGGGTCAAATTACCCATCAAGCTATTCACTATGGTTTTGGATCGAAATGAAAGTACAGCCTGTTTTCCTCAAATAATTGTTTAGGC